TTTGCTTTTATTTGTAAAAAAACTTTTTCATAAAAATAATTTAAACAAATTATGATCGAATATCAGCATCTATTTTTACGCATACATATAAAGAAAGGGGAGAGAGGGGAGAGAGAGGAAGAGAGGGAGGGAGAGGGAGATGGAGAGGGAGAGATTTATTTATCAACCAGGCTCAACTTCTGTGTCTAAAACTGTCTGGAAACATTTCCAGAATTCAGGGTTAATAATTCAAATGTATTCTCTCCAGATAAAAATGCAGTGCTATGAAATCATCATCATTATCCTTATCATCATCATCATCATCATGGAAACTAATCAAGGAGAGAAGCAACCTAGAACTAAGGAGAAACTTCCTGACAGTTAGAATAATTAACCAGTGGAAGAACTTGCCTTCAGAAGCGGTGAATGCTCCAACAATGGAAGTTTTTAAGAAGAGACTGGACAGCCATTTGTCTGAAATGGTATAAGGTTTCCTGCCTGAGCAGGGGGTTGGACTAGATGACCTCCAAGGTCCCTTCCAACTTTATTACTATTATTACTATTATTATATCATCCTTAGAAAGAACTTGATAGGTAGACAAAAAATGTCAAGCCCATTCTAAACATCTGGCTGACTATGCAATGTACTGTAATGACAACAATGAAAAGGATTCTGTCCATCTATTTCTCATCTGTTTGTTTACCGTATAAGGCCATAAATCAAAATCAAAAGGGTCAGTTCAAAGCATTAATCCTCTACTCTGTTTCTTCAACATACTATAGGACAAATATTTTACAACTTCCAAAAATCTTTCTCCCAATCATAATATTTTTCATTCCTCTGTCACCTACTTCATAAACATTTTTCATTACCTGTGGCATCTTATACAATGACAGAATCGTAGCCATATGCAGAGACACTTCAGAAGTTGGGCCTCCAATGACTGCTGTTGGTCTGTTTTGAATTTCACAGTTGTAATTAGGGATAAATCTGTTTTGTGTAGAAAAGAGTTCCAATGAGGCACGGAAAGTCCAAGCTGGAGAGAAATATGAGTTATAGATATGGAAGCCTAGGGTATAATTAGGTAAAATATGGGGATTTTCATTGATCTCCTTGATTGCAAACTCTAAGGCTAGGATATGCTGGTAGAGTGGAGTCATAAACCTGAAATGAAAATTATACACAATATCACAACCAATTCATTTCAAACTATGATACATCATATGATTGAGTTCAATGTAATATTTCACACTGTGCCTACATACATGGATATGACAAAATATTGTTAAAGTCATGATGACTTTTCTAGATCCAGAAGTCTAGTATTCATGATCTTTAATAAATATTTAATTTAACATTACTCATATAAGTTGGATTGGGGACCCCTGCCCTAGAAGGACTCCTTCTGTACTAATTTCTTGCAGTAAAGCAGTAATTAGTATGCACCATTTTGATTTCCTGTGTTTATGAATATATTTTGCCATACAGTAATATTCTTGGTTAAGAACCTCTTATTTTCTCATATATCATCCAAGCATTTGCTTTTCCTTTTTGAAATTTCCCTGCCTCCCCCTCAAATGCACATTACTATTTGTGCAATTATTTAATTATGGCAAAAAGTGTGAAGTAATCAAATGGGGAAAGGAAAATATAATAAAAAACAGGAATATGAGAAACTGATGATGAAGATGGTGATGATGGTGATGGAGAAGGAACCAGATGTTAGTCAGCAAAAGTAGAATTGATATTAAATATAAGACTTTGCTTCAATGAAATCAAAGCTAGTACATACATACATACATACATACATACATATATATCTATATCTATATCTATATATATATATATCTTGATAAAATCAACATATTTTCTGTGTGGTTGTGGCTGTGTGCATCTTGGTTTAAAGATCTTACACAATGTCCTCAAAGAGTTCCTTGGAGGGACGTTCTGTGAAGTTTATCATTGCATAAAAGATGTAGATCTGCGAAAGAATGTCCACAATAATAAGATCTCCTGACTGATATTGCTTGTGAAGAAAAGGCAGAGGATCATTGATGCTGCATTTGGTGCTGGAAATCATGCATACCATTTGGGGCAAAAACATTAAAAGAAAGATTACAAATACCACCATCTTAAGTAAAAACATTTTTTTTTCTGAAACCAATTCATCTGTCCAAACATTGTCCTTCTTTAAATAGCATGACTTGATTGAAAAAGCTACTTGGCCAGTAATGTAGTTTTCTCTGAGCATTAAAAATGATCTATGAACCCATTCCTGAAGACCAATCACTATAGCTCAGAAATATAAAAGTGAATAACCCTCCTTGTACTACCAGCTAAAGGAATTCTCTAAGGGAAAGGAGGTGATAATTGCAGTGGAGAAATTACCAGCCTGGCATCAAATGTCTTCAGAAAGAAGTCTTTGAGTAGAAAAACATGTTTTTCACAACACTGTGTGGCACTTGAGGACACAGAAACACATTAAATTGTTTAAATTGTATTTACACTTACAGCTCCTGGTTAAAGAGCAGGTAGCAGTTGTCACCAAGAGGATATTTTCACAACTGTGGGCTGTGCACTGTTTATGCCCTTTCCTGGACCAACAATCTCTGCTCTCAGTTATCCATGCCCTAGACCCATGTGGCGAACCTATGGCACGCATTCCACAGGTGGCATGCAGAGCCCTCTCTGTGGGCACGCACGCCATTGACCCAGTCCTAGGCCTTCAGCTGGGTTTTATAAAACCTTTTTGCTTTAGGCCTTCTCCACCATGTGCAAAAAAAAAAGTTTTAATCAATCAATTTCAACTTCTCATGGAAAAAAAGATCTCGCAAAGTTAGAATAGATTGGTTTGAATTTTGTAGCCCCACCCAGTCTGCTGTTACCACCGCAGCCACGCCCACCCAATGGGCCACACCCACCTGGCACCCAATGATACATAAGTGGTTTTGGATTGCAGTTTGGGCACTCAGTCTCTAAAAGGTTCGCCATCACTGCCCAAGACACTTCCCGTTTTGACTATTGCAATGGTCTCCTCAGGGGACTGTCCTTGGAAAGTATCCAGAAGTTTCAATTGATTCAAAATAAAATGGCCTGCATAGTTTTGTTGAAGCCTAGATGTCTCACCTCTCCTACAAGAGCTGCATTGGCTGCTGATCATTTTTTGGGGGTCCAATTCAAGGTGTTGGTTGTCACCTTCAAAGCCCTATATGGCTTGGGATCAATATTTGTGAAGCATTATTTTTTCCCAGTCATATTTACATGGTCCACCAGGATGAGGAGGCAGGGAATGCTATTGTACTCTTTCCTAAGAGTAATTAATAGGACCAAAAACAAAGGCCTTCTCTGTAGTGGCTCCCTCATGTGGAAAGTCATCCCTATAAAGATAAGATTGACCCCCCACTTTGACTATATCACTTTGAAGGTGATATAGGTGGCAATATTTTATTTCTGTGTGCAAAGTTTCTTTCATTTGATATCAACTTCACCGAGTTTTGCTGTGGAGTTCTGTTCATATTAGACAAGTTTTCATAATTTAAGCTGAAGTAAGTTAGAGGATTGGTAAGTTTTATAATTACAGACTGATTTGGAAATTAAATTATTGTTGAAAGACCACAGGTCTACCATCAGAGTAGTGAAGATTTGTTAGAGAATTTTAATTTCTCTGTTGGTGAAAAATAAATTAGAAGCTCTCACAGTTGACTGCATTTAGCTGATTCAAATAACCTTTTTATATTCATATCAAAATATTTACAATACCATACATTCTTCTTTACAGCAACATAGCTCAATGAGGACTTCTTACAGAGAGATACTGAGACAAACCCAAGACTGAAAATTCAGCTCCTAACTCAATACCCTTTTGCACAGACTCAGTAGCACTTTCTTCACATTGGCTGACTGAGTTACCACATGACTCTTCCTGCTCATGAATATTCCAACAAGATTAATTACACTGTTCATAATTTTTCATCAGCATAGAAATTGTTCAGTGGTTCACATTTTTGTAGATGAAATGCAATGCAATGTGATGTGTCGTGACATATCACAACTTTTTTTCCATTGCTGGCAATGGGGTGGGCGCAGTTCTGCCATGACACATCCGGCCCATGGGCCGGCAGTTTAACACCCCTGCTCTAATTATACACAATAGGTAAAATCCAAATCCTGCCTGCAAAGATCACATTTTCCTTGGAAATGTGATTTCCTCTTTTCTATTTTTTTCCTCAAATATATTTTCCCCTTACTTTATTTGATGGCCTTATTGAATTTCCTTTAATAATGGAGGTGGAAACATTTAAAACTGCTAGTTTTTAACCCAAAAGGCAATTGGACTTTCTTAGTTTTTTCTTGAAGAAGTGAAGAAGTTTCTTGGATGAGAAGCAAAATGTATTCAAAGAAAAACAAAGAAAGTCTAGATGCCTTTTTAAAAAGCACCTATGGGACAACTATGACCTGGGTGACTGAGAATCTCCATAGACACTGCTAGCTTTTAACACATGGGTAAACAAGTTTAACATACTAAATGGCAATATTTTCTTCTGCAATCTCTTTTACCTTTTCATTTGTTACATTATTATCTTGGTTAAAACACATTCAAATTATTTCAAGATATTCTTGGTTGTTCTGATAGCTATTTCTAATATCCTTTAACAAACCAAAAGGGTATATAGAGGATCAAAATTCAAATATCACCTATCGTTTTTCAATGTTGACATAATTATTTCTCCAATAGTAGTTTTCTAATCATCAGTTTAACTGAGGATGTTTTTTTATCAATGAAAAAATGACACAATTTTATGTTTTAAGCTTTTATCCATGGATATTAAACGTAATCAAGATTATGTCCAACTGATTCAAATTAAATATATTAATTGTAAATCAACTCCAATACATTCATTTCTTAAAACTATATTGAATAGTAATAGTAAGTATATCCTTAAGGACTTACATTAAGTACATGGACATAGACTTTTGGTGCAGAAAATTTCTATTTCCTCTGGCACCATCCAATTTTATATTAATTTGTTGTCTTATTTTTTAGAAGTCCTTTGTTGTTCAGATCAGGCCTCAGAATAATAATATAGCATTTGGGAAAAAATATACAAAGCAGTAACCCCCCACTAGAGGCTATAATGGAGAAGATCTCCACAACAACCATATATTTCCCTTTTGTGCTCAGATAGGTGGGAATAAAGGACAACCAGACACTGCAGAATACCAACATGCTGAAGGTGATAAATTTGGCTTCATTGAAAGTATCAGGCAATTTTCTTGCTAGGAAAGCCACTATGAAGCTGATAATGGCAAGGAAGCCCATAAAGCCCAAGACACTATAAAACATGAAGACCAATCCTTCATTACATTCTAAGATTATTTCATCTAAAATTGAGCTTTTATCAATGTCTGGGAATGGAGGAGAGATTATCAGCCATAGAATACAAATATCACTTTGAATAAAGGAGCAGCAAAATACTATAGATATGGCTAATTTTCTTCCCACCCATTTAGTGATCTTGGATCCTGGCTTGGTGGCCATAAATGCCAGAACCACAATGGTGGTCTTGGCCAAAACACAAGAAATGGCGACTGAGTAGATGATACCAAAGGCAGTTTGACGAAGGAGACATGTCACCTTGTTTGGTTTTCCAAGGAATAACAAAGTACAAAGAAAAGATAACAGAAGAGAAACAAGGAGAACATATGTGATGTTTCGATTGTTGGCTTTGACAATGGCAGTGTCTTCATGTTTAATAAAGATCCAAAAGACTCCAACTGTGACCAAAGAAAAGAAAAGAGCAGAACTGGCCAAAATCATCCCTAAAGATTCTTCATACTTCAAAAATGTTATAAGTTTGGGGAGACACAAATCCTGTTTCTTATTAGGGTACTCATCATCTGGACATTGAAAACAGTCATCCATGTCTAGACAACAAAGTAGAAGATTAGAAATCAGTTAGTCTAAAATTTGTTTTTAAAATAAGTAAGATGGAACATATAATGCCTAGAATAGCCATCCTTTACAGCAAGTATAAAAAGGTATCACTGACTGAAAGACTCTTCTCCTGTGGCTCAAGAGAGGTGGAGACCATTAGACATATACTCCTTTGATGTTCTTTCTTTAAAGATATTTGAAAAAACTTTATCCTCCCAATAATCAAGAGGTATCCTGGCTGTTCTGACACTACTTATCTTCAGTGGCTGCTTAAGGATGAACAGACTTGATTATGGTGCAGGTGGCTAAATTCTGCACAGCAGCACTGGGGATTCATCGGAAACATAAATAAGATAAATATTTTTAAATATTTTTAATTATCCTTAAATTAATTTTATTATATGTATTCTTACTCATCATTAGATTATACTCAGTGCATTTTTATATATGTATGTATGTAAGTAGCCTATAATTGGATATTTTACTGTTTCTGGCCATATGGCTGTAATAAACTGATTTGATTTGATTTGATATTGCCTAGAATACAGCTTGCTAGCTCAAAACTGAAAAGCAACCAAATTTATACAGTACTTCTTAACTATACTTCTAACATTCTGTGATCAAAAATGGCTCACTATTGTACAAGAAAAGATGGAGAAGATTGTATTTATAAGGAATTAAATTTGTTGTTTTTATTGCAGCACTCCTTTTTTCTATATTATGTATCTATTTTAACTTTTCCTTAGGTACTAAATTTCCTTGGGGCTTCGTAATTTTAGATTGGTCAATGATTACTAAACCTAAACATTTTCCCTTGACTTATCTACATATCATTTGAAAAAAAAGTTATTCTGTGAAGTTTCATGAATGTTTCAGTGTACATCCTCTCTCAAAAATTCAGTCAGGTGTCCTTTATTTTTTGTCTATAAAATATGATCCTAGAGTTTAAAAGAAATAATTCAAACAAACAAAAAAGGCACATGCAAATGTGCGCATAAAAACTAAAAGGCAATGATGTCCATCATGATTGGCAACATGTATCCTTAAATTAAACTCAGGTCAATTGTAGGTACATTTTTTTACCTTGCTGGTTTGCAATCTTCCCCTCTGGACATTGAAGGCAATCATAACAGCAAAATGGCTTCCCTTCCAACTTGTTCTTACTATAGCCCCAAGGACATTTGTTATTACACTGAGAAAGTGGCTGGGCCTGTTCATAAATTAAATAAGAAAATGGTTTTGACAAATTTTCAAACATTTATTATTAGATTATATTCTGATTATTTTGGAACTCAGGGTGGCATATATAATGTTCCTACTCCCTATTTTTCTCAATAGCAACCCTGTGAGGTGGGCTGTGCTTAGATTGATTGTCTGGTCCAAAGACACTGAGATACCTTTCCTGCATAAGGGAGGACTAGAATTCACTGTCACCCAATATCTACGTCAGCACCTTAACTATTTCAGAAAATTGGACCTTTAAATTTTTAACATTATGTTTTCTAGTGTTATAGATGGTCTGCCTAATGTTTAATGGTTTGAACAAAGGAGGAAGAAGATAGCCAATGATTTGTAGAAAGGGAATTCTCTTTTCTGTGAAGGTTAAGATGAGAGGTTTCACCAGTGGAATCATTAGCTACTATAGTTTGGAGTTTATTTAGACCTTACCTGGTTAAATATGCTTGGCCACATAATAGATTTCCCCGAAGAGGAGAACATTTCTTTTTGGGGATTCATGGAGTCTATTCTTCCAACTTTGACTCTTTGGAAAGATTGGTTGGGAAAAGTAATCCAATTTATTATATATAACTCTCCATTTTGGTTGAAGGAAATTTTTTCCCCTGCACTATTGTTGAATGAGATCCTTCTCATAAAGTAGTTGAGCTGAATTGAAAAATAAATGAAAAGAAGAGAAATTCTTGACAAGGAATTTATTCAACTGTACAAACTTCTATCTGAAATATATAATGAATCCTGAAATTCTCTAATATGGCCAAAAGGTAATACAATACTATTATTATTCCTTAATACTGAGTTGTGTGATTATAGTTGTCTTTCATCTATAAAGGGAAATATTTAAAACTAAATATAGAAATTAAATGATACTAAATAGATTCAATAAAAGAATGCTGTTTTATACTGCACTTGAAAAATATTAAAGTAATTAAATGGGAAAAATAATTGTATAGAATCCCCCCTTTCTAAATTTTGCATCTTCTATGAGTTCTAGGGCTCAGAATATCACTTAGAAAACTCTCAAGGATGAATTGTCTTTTTTATCAAGGACCTCTATACCTTAAAGAGATGGATGGTTATGTGACATGGTAAGAATGATGGAGCTGAGTAACAAGAGAAATTTAAGTGGCAAGTTCTTCCTATCTTAAGGGTTAAGCTGCAAAGAAGAAGCAATCATAAGGGGATAACTGAGTTGATTTCTTATAAGAATTTGAGGAAAAAATCCCATAAATTAATCATTATTTTCATAACTCTTATAAAATGCTATTATAACATTTTGAGGGGGACTCTGAATACATAATTGTATTGCTTCTTTTTTCTTTTTACCTCAACTAATGAAGGTCTTTCAGGCAATGTTCTTAAGAAAGAAATTTATAGCACTATTTAGGTAAAAAACCCTAAAATATAGCAACCATATAGAGCAGTGGTTCTCAACCTTTTTAATGCCGCGACCCCCAACCGGTCGTAAGTCAAGGGCTACTCAACCAGTCATAAGTCAAGGACTACTCAACTGGAGCAGCACCGTTTGCAGAATGGGACTTTTGGCGGGCTCAGCAGGGCAGAGACAGCCTGGACAATTCCTATTGGCTTTTGAAAGCCAATAGAATTAGACTCTATTCAAAAGAGTCTATTCTATTGGCTTTCAAAAGCCAATAGAATAAAAGGGAGTAGCACAGCTAAGGAAAAGGGGGGGAAAATGGTGGACTGCGTTGTTTGGCGACCCCCGTGAAATGGTTGTTCGACCCCAAATGGGGTCCCAACCCACAGGTTGAGAACCACTGATATAGAGTAATTCCACATATCTTTTATAGCACAATAGAACACATTTTGTCATACTGCCTCCTTAAGCAAATCTATGGTCTCATATACTTACAGCATGATCCAAGAAGCAAGCAACAGCTCATAATAATAATAGGGATAAATTATGTGTATTGTCATTTATTGTAGATATTTTGGAAAATGAAAATGGAAAGGAGGAAAAATTAATGTTGTGAAATAGGTTTTCAATTACAAGAATATATTCAGTGCACAGACATCACTACAGCACACAACAGAGATCTATAACTAGTCTAAGTAACAATTCTGTCACTTTCCAATCACCTTTTGGAATTAATCCTAAACAAAAGAATTTTTTAATCATAAGCTTAAGAATTGAAAGAATTTGAAATAAATAGCAAAAAGCTAAATAAGATAAATGAATTTAAGTTCCAGATAACATTGCAATATTACAATAAGATTTTGGAATTAATTGTAAAATACAAACAGATTCATGTGGGAAATAGATGTTGTTTTAGATTTTATAAGACATAAAAAAGATAAGCAATTTCATGATTTCAAAAACTAGACTGTAGGGGGCAATGTTTTAGATAGATGAACCATATAGAGGTTTGCAAGATGGTTATGACAACAAAAATACTGAAGGAAACTTTTGAAGAATGGAATAAGAAGATAGTAGCCACACTATCAACAGTGTCAGCAATAAAGTCTGGTCCTAAGGATAGCTCAAATGTGCTTTTTAATAAAGAGAAGGATGAGGTGGGACACGATAGCAGTGTTCCAATATCTCAGGGGCTGCCACAAAGAAGAGGGAGTCAAGCTATCTCCAAAGTACCTGAAGGCAGGACAAGAAGCAATGGATAGAAACTAATCAAGGAGAGAAGCAACCTAGAACTAAGGAGAAACTTCCTGACAGTTAGAACAATTAACCAGTGCAACAACCTGCCTCCAGAAGCGGTGAATGCTCCAACACTGGAAGTTTTTAAGAAGAGACTGGACAGTCATTTGTCTGTCTTGTTTATTTTCCTTTGAAAATGCTTTGCTTTTCATCCATAAAGCTTCTTCAGAACTGAAAGTCCAAAAGCAAAAAAATCCATTTGCCTTTTGGAAAAAGCACCTTTGAGACAACCATGATTGAAAATCTTCATAGATACTTCTATGGATACTCTATGTCCAAAACATGTTATTGAAGAAATGTCAAATGTAAAACAAACTTTGACTGACAAGATAGAGTTGGTATCAAAACTGAATTTATAACTGACAGTCCAAGAAAATGATTTACTGTAGGCTGTGCAAGAGAAATTGGCTGAGGTTTTAAAATTTAAAAAAGACATACAAATGAAACACCAAAAGAGAGTGACCAGGATATTTTTTTTCCTATTGGATTCACAAAAGAGACTTGTTAAAACTATGAAAAATTCTATGTGATGGAAAGAAATTAAGAGAAATCAAATCATATGACAATATTTGAATAAAATAAGATTAAAACTGTTAGAAATAAAAGGGAACAATAGAAAATTGCTTTATTTGACCAAAGCTAAAATAAGAAATGTAGTTAATTCTAGTTGTCCTGTTTGGATTTTCTGATGACACTAGTATTGAAAAGATTATGTTATGGATTTATTTTTGCATAAGAGATAAGATATGGAATAAAAAGATAAGTGTTTGTAACTTCAGAGGGAGTAAAGCATCTCTAAATTTGTTTTTACTTGATAAAGGTTAGAAGTCATGTCATGTACTTCTTTTCTCTTTATTACATGTTTATTTTTTCTTTACTTTTTCTTTCTTTTTGCAGCACTTTTACTCATTTCCTCTATTATCATTTTTCTCTAATTTTAATTTTTATTAGATTTCATTATGATAATCAAAATCTGTAGATATTAAAGAAAATGGTGCTTTGTTTCCCTGACTAAATAAAAAGAGCAAAATTACCATTCAATATCCCCTCTCTTTTCCACTAAAAATATCTGCCATGTTTTTTTAGCACAGCAAAACCTCCACACCTTCAAAATAAGGAGGACTGTTAAGAAAATCATGCACAAATATTCACGTTGAACATGTGAAATTATTCCTCAATAGGATTATATATGGAATTAATTCCTGAGTGATGTCTTAGAATGATATATTTGATTTTCCTGGGAAGAAAGTCTAGAGAACAATTTCATATTTATAGATAGTTTGTGCCTTAGTTGCTAACCACAGTTGACACAATGAGTTGTGTCTACAGTAAATTCTCTCTGTAAAAGTGGCAAACTCCATGCATGTTATTTAATCAGGATATTACCTTCGACAGCTTTTGGCTCCTGAGGTTCAATTGGGTTACATGCTTTCCTGCTCTGTAATGCAGTATAGATGAAAGGAAGTCACTCAGAGCATGGGCCACCACATAGACTGCATTGTAGACATTGTAACTCTGGCTAGTCATATGCATTTCAAATATAGATGTAGGAAGAGCCGCAAGTTTTTCTTCTCCATGACAGCTGTCTTCCTCAGCTGTCATGGAGTTAGGAAACAAACATTCAAATGCATTTTCCCAAAAGACATTGATAAAGCTATCTTTTTTTGCAAAGGTGGGATTTTTCGTCTGAAGAAATTCCTGGAATCCCAAGACTTCCTCTGACTGTATTGCAAAAGATAAAGCACCATGCAGGAAGTCTATTTTTACAGTTCTCAACAAAGGAAGTGAGGTGAATTCCATCTGGGCTGTTAAAACCCACACTCTATTTTTTCTCCATAGTGGCATTCCTTCTAATTGGGATATAAATGGAAAAAATCTCAAAAGAATCATATCGTCCATTTCACCGTGAACTATCACCACATTAGCTGTTCTGGTCATAACCACTTTATATGTTTCAACTGCTTCTCCTATCAATTCATCAAAGCTATTGAAATAAGTCATTCTGGGGAACTTTGTAGTAAATGCAAAGCAAATCCCTCTCTGGGAAAACATAGGTACAATATCATGTATAAACTTTTCACCATTCTCATTATGTGTATATATTACTCCAATCCATGTCCACCTGAAATGATGCAATAATTGGAGGATTCCATTGTATTGGTAGTCCACATTTGGAAACATCCGTTGGGTGAGAACTTGATGAGTCTCTGAAATTATCTCTGGAGTTGAACCATAAGTAAGCTTATCAAAGAAAGACGGAAATAAGGGAAAGGGAAAAATGTAATTTACAAATCTTTGCTTGTAGTGCCTGATTTTCTGGAATAATCTCCTATTCCTATTTCCAATTTGTATGTAGTTTGAATGTTGTGAAATTCAACAAAAAAAAGAGCTAAGGCTATAATGTAAATAAAGTATATATTACTGAAATTATTCACCATACCACAGGAAAATCTGTGTGAACGTATAATTCATTGCTACAATATTTCCCTCAATATCTAAAGCTGTTGCACCTTTTTATCTTTCATGAAAATACCCTGATATCTGGTATATCCTGTATGGTATTTTTTCTAAAACAGTGTTACACATGGAGACGGTCAGGAACAGTGTAGGGTCTGGCATGTAACAGAAAAAATGCATTTGCTCTTCCATACATGTCTATTTGTTGATGGTGAACCTACAGCATGCATGTCAAAAGTGACACACTACAAATTTTGGCATCACACACTAGCATTCACCAGCACAACTATTCTTGAAAGCACATCTCATTTTGATGAAATTTGCAGATTATGCTCTCACATAGCCACTGGATCCTCTGAACATGGTGTGCTTTCTCACTGTTTTCTAAAGCTGTAGAGGCTTCAGAAGAGCATACTTCAACATTGTCTAGCATTGTCATACAATCCATAGCAGTTTCAGATAGGCTACAGGATCCTAACAACAGGGAGAGAATATCACCTGAAGATAAATAGTACACAAAAGGTCTTGAAGAGCACTGAGCCATACCAATAATTGTGCTGTTCTTCAATGATCAGTGGAAACAGGGGTGCTAGGACTGAAAACAAGGATCAGCTTTGATTAAAAAAAATGTGCTTAATGTATGCAACACTGTGAATTCCCTGAAAACCTCTGTAGCTAGTTATCTAGCTAGACACATAGACAGACAGACAGACAGACAGACAGACAACAATTTTATGACAAATCTTGTCATGGGTCAAATATGCTATTTGCAACATCTGTTGACATTGGTACATTTACCAATGAAAACATTTGCCATCTGTTAACTTTTTATACATGTGATACATATGCACAAACACAAATACACATCATTGTTTACTTTACTCACTGTATATTTATTTCAAATCCATATAAATTAAAAACTGAATGGTTGACTTCCACTGTACCTGTGGCACTGTACCTGTGGCAGCTTATAGAGGGATAGGATAGTAGCTATGTGTAGACAGACTTCAAAGGTTGGGCCTCCAATAACTGCTATTATTCTGTTCTGGATGTCACAGTTATAATTAGGAACGAATTGGTCTTGTGAAGAAAAGAGTTCCAGTGAGGCATGATAGGTCCAACTTGCACTAAAATAACTGTTATAGATATGAAAACCCAAGGTAAGGTTGGGTAAAATCTGAGGATCTTCATTAATCTCCTTGATTGCAAATTCCAAAGCCAGAAAATGCTGATAGATAGGAGTCATGACTCTGAAAAGGGAACCAGATAACCTTTCACAGAGCATTCACTACAAATGTCAGATGCATTATCTTTCAGTAAAATATATTTAAAAGATTCATTCAGGAGACATGACTATAAAATATATATTATCATAGTCATTTGATTTCCAATATCCTAAAGAAAATTTTTAAAAAATAAGTTCAATTTAGTTATGCTTGGTCTCCAAAATGTGGCTTAACCGTGTATAAATATAATGTTCATTCAGTTTTTGAAAATACCTTTCTTTCCCATTTGATACAGGGACCACATCTGACATTTGATTTTTTCCCCATTCCTTTCAACTAGTCCTCAAGTTTCATATTCCATGAGCAAATAATGTGAAATATAAGAAGTCCTAATCTCAATATTTTAAATCACAAATGAAGCCAAATAAACAAGATTTTGGACCCATTGTTAGAATGTCACCTGAGTTCACCACCTCACAGCTATACTATAAATTGTCTTTCCCTCACTAAATAAACCCATGGATAATTTTATCATGATTGGTTGCATACTCAGCCAGGAACTTAGACTGGATTTGGCATATTTGTCCATCTATTGAATCTTACCCAAAGACATAGGATAGGCAGACATTGAACAGGTGCTCACCATTTTCTTGCATATTTTAACTTCTGTTTCTAATCTGTTTTTACAGTACTGTTTTTAATAGGTTGGGCTGTTTTTTTCCTTTTGTGTAAAGACAGAGGCAAAAAATGAGTTAAATAGTTCTGCTTTCTTCCTGTTGCCTGTCACCTTCTTGTCAGTTTCTCCCACTAATGGGCCAATCAGTTCCTTGACTTTTTTTGTTTTTTACATGTTGAAAAAAGATTTTTTGTTATTTTTTACTTTTGTCACAAGCCTTAGTTCATTTTGAGCCTTAGCTTTCCTTGCTTCATCTTTGGAGGCTCGGGCTATTTGCTGATATTCTGCCTTAGTTATGTTACCCTCTTTCCACTTGTTATACTTGTCCTTTTTGACTTTCAATTTATCAGAAAGTTCTTTATGCAGCCATGCTGGTTTCTTCTGAGAGCTGTTATTTTTCTTCTTTGTTGGTATTGTGCTTGACTGGGCTGTTATTATCTCACTTTTCAAAATTTCCCAAGCTTCTTGAGTTGTTTTACCCTTGAGGATCCTCATCCATGGAATCCTTCCCAAGCCCTCTCTAAGTTTATTGAAATTAGCTCTCTTGAAGTCCAAGACTCTAGTTTGACTGTGTTCTATTGCTTGTATTTCCATAATGTTGAATTCCAATATTGCATGATCACTCCCCCCCCCAAGGTACCTGTGGCTTCAACACCTTCTATCATTTCTTTCCTATTAGTGAGAATTAGGTCCAATATGGCTAATCCCCTAGTTCCTTCTCTACTTTTTGGGAGACAAAATTGTCTGCTAGGTTTGTCAGGAATCTGTTTGATCTTCCACTTGGTGCAGAGTTTGTCTCCCAGTTGATGTCAGGGTAAAGTTCCCCATTACTATTGTGATGTGCTTCTTATATACCTTAGTTAACTGACTAGCAAAAAGTTCATCTATTTCCTCTGCTTGGTTGGGTGGCCTTTAATATACATCTATGGCAATGTCATTCCCCCCCTTTTATATTGACTTAAATGCATTTGAGACAGTTTTCATCATTGTTGTGCTCTAATTCTATAGAGATGCAATTATTTCTTATATAGAGAACAATTCCACCTCCTCTTTTATTTGGTCTGTTTCTTTGAAATAATTTTAATCCCTCTAGCTGTGTATTCCATTTGTGGGTTTCATCCCACCAAGTTTCCATAATGGCAACAATATCGTATCTGCCCTCATTTACCTGAATTTCTAATTCACCCTGTTTATTGCTCATATTCTGTTCGTTGGTGTATAGACATTTGAGTCCTTTTTGATTAATCCTGTGTTTACTTTCTACCAGTGGTGGGATTCAGCCGATTCACATCATTTTGGCAGAACCAGTAGCTAATTTTTTGTTGTTCAGGTCCAAAATGGACTTTCGGAAGTGACATCCACAAAGAGAACCAGTTGTTCACATATTTGAATCCCACCACTGCTTTCTATAAAACCTGTGTGGTGCCTGAGTTCCCCTATTTTCTTACCAACTGTTTGATTAGTGCACTTTCAATTAGTACGCTATTGAAAGCTTGATTTTGCTTGACAGCTAGGTTGATATTCTTGTCCACACACAACCCTATGTTACATGCACTGATAACCCTATAATTTTTAGATTGCCTGGGACAGGAATGTTCTGTATCAATTAGCTCACTATCCATGTTATTTAGTTTAAGTATTTCTCTTTATTGCCAAGTAACTCAGTCCCTTTTTTGATGGATGCAAACCATTGCTTTTGTACACTTTTTCATTAGACCAGCTGCAGACATCATGACTAATATAACCAAAGCCTTCCCCTTTACACCACTCCTTTAGCCATATCTTGAATTCTGCTATATGCTGGCCTTTTCCATTTTGTAAAACCTCTGAAAAAGTAAGCCTACAGCCTATTGTGTTAAGTTCCTGTCCTAAGCTCTGGAAATCATTTTGCACAGAGAGTACATCTTTTTGGGACAGATCATTAGTGTCAAGATGTACAATAGCATCCACATCATAGTCCTTGCTGACATTCTTGACTATCTTACAAAATGCTTCTTGTCCCTACTGGCAGTAGCACCATAATTATTTCTTTATTTTCATTCCTTGTGTATTTGGAAAAGGTAACAAATGTTTCTTCCAGTAGGACTGTAGCTGCTAATCCTGATTGTGCAGCCATTGGTTCTGAGTCCTGCAGCCCATTTGTCACCATCTGCCCACAAACCCCAATACTAATGCAGTCCCTGTTCACCTAAGTGAGGACTTATTTTACATCACATCATATTTTTATAGAAGATACACTCTTCATCTAGCTCTTATGGTGAGACCTATACAGTAGGGTTGAAGCTATATGGAATAACTCTCATGTTCATGAGTGCAGGCAAACACACATGTTATCAGTAATATTAATATGACTCATTATTCAGAAATATCCTAGAAATATATTAATTTTATTTATCATCCTTCTGTATGTTTAATTTCAATTTAATTAATGTCTTTAAAATTCTTCTGTAAGGCTTAATTAACAAGATAATTACAGATTTAAAATATATTGCAACATAAGTGGAATTGTGTGTCTTACATTAATCAACCTTGTCTAGAACAAAGATTTCTTATTCTAGAAATGAAAGTTAAGCTAGCCATACTTCTTTTTAAACACTCAGTGCAAAATGAACATAAAGTCCAGCAAGTCATAACATTGCATCTCTGTAATGAATCATTACCTTTCCTTATTCCATTGATTTCATTACAAGGTATTACTTACTGAACACTTATTGGTCTTTTTACTACTGGGGAAAACACCAATGAATGATTTAATTTCACTCATAAAGGAAATGCAATCATTGACTTTAAGGTTATAACTTATGAAGAGAAATTGCAGAATC